TTAGTATCTAACGGTGTCCAAGTCACTTGATTAACATCCTTTGCAAGGATTTAATCAACACAATGAAATTGGCTTAACACGAGACCATACGGTCTTCTCACAATTTTAATCTCAAAGATTAAATCTGCCAAACTCACACCTCTTATGTCAAATCTCGAATTTAACATGTTCCTGGTAGAATTGATCATTTGATCGTTACTACCCATGTTGAGTTTATCGTGTATAAACAAACAGTGATTTCACCGTCTATCGTATATGTTACGTAGACTCACTTGTCACTTTTATTTATACTAAACTCGTTGGTCATCATTGCACGATCAAAACCTCACATGCCACACTAAGGCAATTGTTTCGAACAATACAATGATCTCACCAATTACACACTTTCTTTTCACATCGTGGAACCACAAACCCTCAGGTCGTTCCATGTATACTAAGAAAGCGACACATCCATTTTGATTGATGACCTTCCAAGTCTCGCTAAACGACTTTGGCAAATATCATTCTAATGGATTCCATTCTCATCACAAGAGAATATATATCGAAGTAACTGTGGCATTCGCGTTGCATGTAATCTACAATTACAAGTCTGGCCATTTTACTTCAATATAACCAACCGGTTTTGTCTTCCGACTAGTGATCCACTTAGGATCCAAAGGTTTTACAACTCGGAGGAAGAACAACCAGTTCCAAGTGTGATTCTTTAAGATAGAATCTACTTCACTCTCGATAGCCTCTCTCGGGTTGGTCCACCTGTAGAAGTCACCACTTCTACATATGTGCGAGGCTCATTTTCTAACAACCATGTCAGAAAATCCAATTTCTTTTCTAGTAAACAAGTTAGATTGTGCGCATCACACTCTAACATGTACGTCAGAAAATATGGACCAAAGGATTTTTCAATCCTAGCTCTCTTGCTACGTCTAGCTTTGAGCTCGGGTTCTCTTTCATACCCTTCAACCATAGCTACGCCGAAAGTTCCTTTCAACGTGCTAGGTCCTTTATTGATCCTTCACAAAAATACATCTTCCAAGAACGATGAATTTCTTGAATCAATCTTTCGTGTTCTTATGTACATCCAAACTCTTGGACTCGTGTACTAAGAACCAATACACAACTTTGGCAAGACACCCCCACATTTCGGGCATTAGAAGGAAACTTCCTACGTACCCACAATTCGTAAGAATTCCATGTGGGTAACCTTATTTAAAAGGTATTTACTTGTCCAAAGTATTGTCTCACCCTCATACTTTGAGGTAGACCCGAACTTATCAACGTCTTGATATTTTATGTTCGGCAACAACGCTGGATTGAGGTGAATACCGTGTCGTACGCTCGAGTACGATACCAATGCTTGCGCCGAAATCACCAATAGGTGTTTCTTTTTCACCACATCGATTGTTCATAACCGCATTAATCCACGATTAATTTGGTTTTTCTCTTTTTATTCTTTAAAGAATAAACATGTGTTACATGCTAATACATCTCGTAGGTGCTAACAGATTAGCCCTCACGAATCCATTCGGTTTTGACCGAAAGGCCACAAACCCGAATCAGTGCTTCCGAAATTGAAGCACGAATCAGTGCTTAGTAGTGAAGCACGAAACATGCTACACAAAGCACGAATCATTGTTGCCAAACTAATGCACCGATTCCAAAGCAATCCCTATTGCTTTAAATTATAAACTCATAGCAATCTTCAGTTGCTTAATTTATAATTTCAGTGCTACTTAGCACTAGGATTTTCAATTAATTCCACAATTAACCAAACTTCCTTTCGTGCTAATCACATAACACTTTTTGCAATGCTAAATTTAATTAGCCACATACGAAAGGTTTAAGCCAAGTAAATTAGCATTAGAACCAATCATAATCTAGCACCTTTATTGTTTTTACCAAAGCACCAAATGCTTAAGTTTCCAACACATAAAGGTGCAGCCACCAAGTGGCCGAAAGTGCCTAATTAAGCACTCTACCTAGTGCTTAATAGCACTATTGCAGTGTTCTAATTTGCACTTCAAAGTGCCAAATTAAATTACACTTTTCACTAGTGCTACAAAAGCACTATTCACCAAAACACAATTTGTCTCAAATTAAATATACTAGTATAATTTGGAATTTTTGATCAAGTTAATTATAACACAATTAACGAGAACAAATCAACCAAATTTTCCAACTAGTTGAATCAAACTCATATAATCGTTCTTAGAATATTATATAAAATATTCAACACTTGAGATGTGACGCTCACGATTATATAGTTATCCCAATTTTTGACAAATTGATCCTTGAAATCCGTATCGTTCTACATGAACTAGAACCGAAGTTCGTTACGGGATTTCAACATGTAACACGCTTGTTACATTTCATTTTGGCCGTTAAGCCATTTTAGCATTTTCCACATAATGCCCCGTGATGCACTACGCACCCATATTGAATCATTTCATACATTTGACATTATTCTAGTTAATAATTCGTATGTACCAAGATTCAACTCAATGGAACAATTATATTTTTTATTCAAATAAAAATATTCCAAGGATACTACAACATTTATTCAAAATAAATAAATAGGAAAATACATTGGAAACATATTTCCTTATTCCTATCTCGTAGTGATCCTTCAAACCCGTGTGCCTTGTTCCATTCTCAACCGTCCACTCCACAAAGGGTGGTCCATAGGGCACATCGGGGGTACCTATGGTTGTGACCTCACTCGTCCAACCATCCACATGTTTTAAACATAGCGAAGTTGTCCTCAACCTTCTCACCAGGATGACGGTTCGCTTCATAGTGGCATTTTTCCTTCTTCTCGTAATCTTCTTGAAAGCTAAGCTTCCGCTTAAGTTTCCTTTGATTACGGTTGAAGTCATTGGTCACACTACAATAGTCCTCAGACCATGTAGTTATTACACCATCATAGGATCCTTCGTGGCTTTTAGCCGATCCACTAGACAACACAATAGGTACCAATTGTGTGCCATTAGCCACAGGTCTACCGGATCGTGAACCAAAGTTCTCCGGAGCACCATCGTGTGTTTTTGCAACTCCCATGGAAATATTATTTCCAACGTTGCTGCCATCAACTGGCATCACGGAATGTGCAACATCGTTGCCGTTCCGACCATTTGAATGTGCACCACGAGCAACATTCACGGATCCAACACTTTTGGAATCCATCGACTTGTTCATTATCAAAAGTAAATAAGGTTTTAAGATTGTTGGTGATAATGAACCAAAAATCGATTTAATATCGTAAAATAATATTTATATATACACACACGAAGTATATAAAATATTATTCGATATATTATATCCGAAATATATATATATATATATATATATATATATATATATATATATATATATATATATATATATATATATATATATATATATATATATATATATACACACACAAATATATATATATAAATCAGACCGCCATGGTTTTATGCATGAATATCTACGGAAAAGATATATACATATCAACCAAATGGAATTTATAATACACAGATTATAATTCCAACCAAACTATAACATTATAGGAGGATTTTTGCTTAGAAGCATAATCCAAAAACGAAAGAAGGAAAGATTGGCTCGTGTTTGGATAAGGGTTTTTAGCGTGAGTCAAGAGACCACTCTTTCCTTAAAACCTTATTTGCCACCTCCCAAAAGTGCTAGGAGCACCGTGGCCTAGGTTTCCCAGGATAAAACGCGCTACGGTTCGACGTTTGAGCACCCAAACGAACGAACCCGGCGAACTAGAGCAAAGCCTTGAACACAGTTCGGCTTAAGAAAGGAGTAGAAGCAGAGTTTTTGAGGAGAGAAAACACTTCTTGTGTTGTGTGTTCTTGTCACTATGTGCTTGTAAAATCTGCTGCACTCTACCCCCTCCTTATATAGGGATTGAGGAGTGAATAGCCTTTATTATGGCATTTAGGGGCATCCCTACAACTTCTTGTAACATCCACCACAAACATGGGTGTTAATTCAAAATTAAAATTGTCATTAACCCCATAACAGCTGGAATTAAATCCCAACAGTCACAAAAAGGACCTTTCTGGTTCGTGTATACTGTGTACAACTTCAGCCATCTTTGCAAAGTTTCGGCCAACTTGGCCGAAACTTGCAATTGCAAACTTTCGGCCAAGCTGGCCGAAATTTGAATTGCAATTGCAATTTGCAATCCATTTGCAAACTTTCCCAGCGTGGCCCCCATTTGCAAACTTTCCCAGCGTGGCCGAAACTTGGCAGTTTCAATAGTTTCGGCCACTAGGCTGAAACTCACACTAATAACACGAACTTTTGTGGCTTTGTCAGAAAATGAATATCGAAGTTTTGGGATTTGATTTGCACTCCCCTTGCGCACAAGAGAGAGCCTCTATGCTATACAATTCAATAAGCTTAACAAGAGCTCATGTATAAATAGTGGGGCAAATCCTCTTCCCAAACCAATGTGGGACAAAAGTTCACTTTTTCCCTTCATTTTCCAACTCAAATGGGTCTACTTTGAGAATCAATATCTCATTCACCCATTATCCGTTTTGAGCGTACAATATATCAATCTCTTCGTCTCACTACGAAGAACCCGAATCCACTTTGACCCGACCCAAATCGAAAGTGGACCCCACTGATAATTGTACCACAAAATAGCCACTTAAAAAGCCATTTTATGTCATTTCAAGCTATTTTTTCCAACATCAAATCCTACCAATGACCCCAAAAAAAAAAAGATGTATGAACTTAGTATTGTTATAGACACTAATGTACAAGCATTCATAGGCTAGGATAGTTGAGGCTAATGGAGACACATCTGATCTCGCGATTTGCCTCTTTCACCCGGAACAATGAATAATTGTTCTTAAAGTTTGGAGTTTAAACTTATTATTATCTATATTTAAAAAAAAAAAAAAAAAAAGTTTAAAGGGCAGCACTTTAATTAATTTCTTCCCCACCCCTGCTTATATATGTGCACTTATCATGGTGAAGTTTCTCATTGTCCCATAGCCATCCAAATAAGGTGTAGAGTGGTGTAGATTATTGTTTGAGATAGAGAGAATATGGGGAGAGAGATTGTGAGATCAAATGATGAGATTTTGGGGTTGTCTGCTTCTTCTTCTCCTCTTTCTCCTTCTTCTTCTTCATCTTCTTTATGGAGTAATAGTTGTTTTTTGGAAGAAGGTGATGAGAAAAAGAGAATGCCATTGCTGGCTCTCAACCATGTCTCCTTTGTCTGCAAATCTGTCCCCAAAACTGTCCAATTCTATGAGCAAGTTCTGGGCTTTGTCCTCATCAAGAGGCCCTCTTCCTTTGACTTTGAAGGAGCTTGGTATGTATATACTATACTATACTATACTTCCCCCCCCCCCCCCCCCCCCCCCCCCCAACACACACACACACTATAATCCTTTATCGGGTAAGATTTACCAAATGCACACGTATTCTTGAGTTGTAACTATAGATTTTTCTGGTCACTCAAAAATCATCAAGAATATAATCCAGTGCACACCTTGCATCAGAATGCCCGACACTAAATACGTGATCGAAGACATACATATCTAGGGTTGAGTTTTGTACTCAATCCGATATTAAATATTGTCGAGCGGATGAGTATCCTAGTTAGTCAAACTCAATACAGACCGTACCGAACCTGGCTATAAAAATATAATCGGTACGCACAAGGGATCTGATCTGTCCACTTTGAGCATAACCACCACACTGACGCCGCCAAAGTTCAAACCTTAGTCTCTCCTCCCAAATAGTGTCTACTGAACCATTGAACTAAACCCGTGTGAGCAATGTTGAGTATCCTAGTTAGTCATGTACATGTCCAAAACACAACCTTAAACAACTACAAACCCAAAAGCCACATGATGTTAGAAACAAGATCAGATTTCATGAATATTTATTGTATTTTAATAATTGCTGCAGGTTGTTCAATCATGGCATTGGGATCCACCTCCTGGGTGCAGAAAATGTGGGCATCACCAAGAAAGGAAAGATAAACCCTAAAGACAACCACATTTCATTCCAGTGCTCAGACATGAACCTAATCATCAAGAAACTAGGTGACATGAACATTGAATATGTGACTGCTAAGGTTAAGGAAGGTGGTGTGATTGTGGATCAGCTCTTCTTCCATGACCCTGATGGCTACATGATTGAGATCTGCAATTGCCACAATCTCCCAGTTTTGCCCCTCTCCTCTTGCCCTCTCAACAACACCAATAACAAGAACACTATTTATGGTAAGTCACTAATTGATCCGACCCGTTGTTCATTCGGTTAGTTCAGTTTATCTTCTTCTCCCATAAGGTTGAATTTTCAACTCCAATGGCCCGAGAGAGCATGTAAATTACGGCCATTCAATGGCTCAGCAAACAAGACAGGGCCAAATGCCGGTGCACATAAGGGATCTGTCCACTTTGAGTATAATCCATCAATTATACCATCACAAAATAATTTGTGGGAGGTTCGAACATTCAATCGTCCACCATGCAAGGTGGACACAGCTCCAAAACTGTTCATAATTACTGAACTATATGTTTATTGCCCACTTTGAGTATAATCCAGCAATTATACCATCACAAAATAATTTGTGGGAGGTTCGAACATTCAATCGTTATGCTGTGAAACCATGTCCACCTTGCAAGGTGGACACAGCTCCAAAACTGTTCATAATTACTGAACTATATGTTCATAATTATAAAGTTATATATTCATAATTTGCAAAGTGGACACGGTTCCACAACATAGTTTGCCTCAAACATTGATTTCTTTTTTCAAATACTACCTACTGAACCATTGAACTAACCATTGAGCTAAGTCCGTGTGAACAGTTTATCTGTATGTATAGACGTATTAGTACGTGGTTAAATTTGAATTATGTGTGTGTGGGGGTGGGTGGGGGTTGGGGTAGGGGAGGGGTTATATAAATTTGGTTAATTCAATCAATATACATTTTGACTCGAATTAATCAAAATATAAAATTTTTAAATTGATCAAATCTATCACTTAAATATAGTGCAGTTATTGACCGATTAACTGAAGTAATTCGGTTCGATGGATTATACTTTATGCATGAAAAGTTGTACCCAATTGGGATTTTCTTGAACTTTTAATTTTAATTTAAATTTTGAATATGAATTGCAGGGAAGGGAAGCTGGAAGAAGCCATCATGTGCTGGAGAAGTGGAACATCTTATGATGGAGAATTTAGCTGTGGACATGCTGGATATTTCTTTTTGAGGATCTCTCATCTCATCACCACAATATATATATTGAAATTCTACAATAAATTATTAATAAATTAAATAAAAATCCCTCATCATTAATTTTTTGTAAACTTCTTTATACTATTTAATTATGTATGGAGAGATTGAAATGTAAACCGTTACGTACCGATTGAGAATCAATATAATACATATTTCTTTTAGGATGTGTTTAGTTTGTGGGTTTACATATCAAGAATGTGAATCAAAATCATAGTCGTTAGTGTTGAATTGGTTGACAACTTTTTAAAACGTACAACTATGCTTATACAGTTAATTCCTGTGTATGTGTAGAGTATACTGTATGTATGTAAAATGTATGAACAATGAAATAGACAAGAGAAAGTAGAGCAAAGTGATCTTTTTTTCATTAATGTTCTTGTCTTTTCTAGAGAGATGGAAGAGAGTGTCTACTATTCTAGAGAGTGTGTGTGTGTAGGAAAGAAGGGGGAATCCCTTAAAATGAAGGGCTAGGGCCCTTTTTATAGGCCCAGTCGAGACGGGTTTGACCTTGACATGTTTGACTAAGACCACGACCCGAACCGATTGATCCCGACCTAAGCACGAGCACGGACGTATGGGGAGTCTGAACCCGGGGTATAATCCCCATCATATGCGATTTGATTACTCCTTCATTTAAAAACCTCATTTCCTAATTAAAAACGGATGTTGTTCCATCTTATTCGTAATCTAATTTTTAAGTTTGGATTAGTGCTTTTAGATTTTTGTTTTGATTTTTTTTTCATATTAGTGCTTTGGATGTCATTATATTATGATCAATTGCCTTAATTTTTTATTTTCAATATATGACAAAGTTTACAAGTTATATCAATAGTCTGCAAGAGAGGTTAATGGCACTAAGAAGACTATGTATGACGGACTCAACTAACAGTGTATTGACAATAATCGAACTCGTGACATTTTGATATGGAAAAAAAAAAATCCAATTAATTTGGTTGGGATTGGCGCAAATCAGTCGCATTCTTAAGTTTACTAGTGGCCCTTGGGAGTCACTTTCAAATGGTTAGAAGTATGCAACAGTATGTAGGTATAGTATTTAATTCCCACATAGCCAAATAGAAGTATGCAACAGTAGGTATAGTATTTAATTCCACATGATCGAATTGCTCTCCTATATGGGATGTTGTGGGTTAAGAAAGTAGTTATGATTTAATTAGTTTTTTTAACAGTTTATTGAATGCTACTGACTCTATTACATTGTAGTATATGTTTAACGCATTCACTAAGGCTCAATCTTATGACCTCCCACAGGAGAAGTCACTACATGCCATATGAGTACAAAGTAATTCGCTAGAATTGATTATTTTAATTGAAATGTTATATTTTCTTATAAAAGACACTTTAAAAAAAATGATGTGTTATTATTAGTTTTTTTAAATTAATTATTATGTGAATTCGTATTAATTTACGTTAGGGTCAATTAATTTACATATAACTAATAAAAGTATTTTTTTTTCCTTTTTTTAAGTTTATAAATAAGAAATATGTTCTTTTTTCTACTACAATTACTACAAAATGCTCACTTGCAACCTTTAAAAAAAATATTTATGTTTATTAATTGATCGTGACTTTCTGTGTGTGGACAAATACTACATTGTAATAGAATCAGTAATATTAAAAAAAATTAAGATATAATTGCTAAAAATCACAGTCATAACCTTTAAATATTAGAATTATGTTTTACTCATTTCATTTTTCTTTTTGAACCAAATATTTATTTTCAATTGTCATATAATTTATAAAGTTGTCAATTTAACCTCTCGGAGTCTCGGTGACGAGATAATTGTGAATTTCCCAATTTCTAGGACTTATATATAAACATGTAGTTGCGGATTTGATTTCAATCATTACTGTGTGGATCATATTTTGTATATTATAAATAATGTATATTATTTTTATACATTGTACATTATATTGTATAATATACATACAGTACAAAAATAATATACATTTAGTATATTAAAAATGTACTTTTTGTTATGGTCCACAAAACATTGCGTGGACCATGGTCCACACAATAATTTGCCGATTTGATTAGTTGTTGGCAACTAGAATATGGGAAAATATATAGTTGGGCCCCACCGGATTCTTTCTTTAATGCGGATTTGATTGTTAGTTCCCCGCTTTAAACACAATTGGGCCCTAATAGCGGGCCCTGATTAATGGGCCCTACTTTAATCGTGGTTCACATTTATTGGGGCCTAATTATTACCAATTGTTATATCATGGACCAGTATCCACCTTACAATGTAAACTTGAATTTAAATTGTGTACTTTTAGTATTAGAATTGTAAATTTGTAGAATATAAATTGTGTTTCTAAATTTTAGAAATTTGTAAATAAAATACGGGGTCATTACAAATTGTGAATTTTTAAAAGGTAAATTGTGTATCTTTGGACCCATGTCCACATAATAAAACCAATTGTTATACCATAGACCAGGTGGACCCTGGTCCTAAATGGTGTATTTTTAGTATTGGTGAACTTGTAGAATATAAATTGTGTTTCTAAGTTTTGAGAATTTGTGAATAAAATACAAGGTCATTACAAATTGTGAAGTTCTAAAAGATAAATTGTGAAATATTAATCAGTATCAAATAATGTACATTCAATATATAAATAATATACTTTTACTATATTAAAAATGTATATTGCATTCATGGTCCACACAATAAGTTGCTCACTTGGGAGTAGGGAGCCTCTTCCCCGCTTCAATTTATAATAGATATATATATGATTTGCGGGCTATTACATAAAAATGTAATTTACCCAAGACACGCCTTCAAATTGAGGTCGGTTTTAATTTCCTCGTTACCCAAAAAAAAAAAAAAATCATAAATTCATATATAAGAGTCAAGTTTACCAAATCCACTTATCCATACACCAAAGTACTAACTATAAATTTTCCTCGTCACCCATTCGATATGAAATTATCTACCTACTTTAAAAATAAAAAATAATTTTAACTTGTACATCAATCCCATCTTCAAATATGAAAAAATCATTTGGGATATGCTTGGACTTTCCAAAGAGACACATATCTACTAAATTGATGTTACTTTAAATCTGCATGAAAAACGAATTATAGAAAGCAAAACGGCAGGAGGGAGTTCATACTTGCAAATCTTATCCTCAAACATATGATATGTAATGTAAGTATGTAATATACTTGTTTATATTGTGTATTATCTGTTCAATATACTTTTTTCATCTGTTGTAACCCAAAGAGTCAATACTTCACTATCAAGAATTTAATCATGGGACATTTTTTTTTAAAGAGAGCCACAGAGGTGTCAACTGAGCACGAAGTGTTAGGCGACACATGCGCTTATAATGATATAAGAATCAAAATTAAATAAATATAAAAAGTTAGGCAAGACGTAAAATATAGGCCATGTTTAATTTAGCAATCAATTATATTTTATATGCTGATAATTTATTATATTGTCCATACCAACCATGTGTACATGATTTAATAAGAAAGAACTTGGTTTTGGAAGAGATAGTCGAGTGGATAAAACATAATTTGTGTATCTAAACGGTCATAAATTCGATTATTGTCATTATCTTATGCAGGGCCGGATTTTAGATTTTTGTGGCCCTGTTCTGGTAAATAACTGAGGCCCTCCAAAATCATGATTTTTAAAACTAACATATACGAGTTTCGAACCTTTGACCTCTAAGTTAAAAGACAATAAATACATATTTCAACCATCTCTTCATAGAACCTTTTAAGATTAATTGTAAACTTTTAATTTTTATTTCTAAACTAGCTAGGTAAATATTAAATATTGGACCTCTAAAATTTGGGGCCCCTCTAAAATTGGGGGCCCTGTGCGGTAGCCCAGCTTGCACAGCCTAAAATCCGGCCCTGATCTTATGGTCTTTTTAGTGCAATTTACTTAATGTATGCCTTATGCGGGTTTCCTTTGTCACTCCAAACAAAAAAAAAAAAAAAAAAAAAAAAAAAAAAAAAAAAAAAAAACCTACTCCGTAATAAATATTAGAATAATATGATTTTTTTTATCATATCTAATAATAATCATCTCTGATAATAGGTGATAATAAAACTCTTCTTTTTTTCTTTTTGTGAAAGCAATAACTAATTGTATTATTAATTCATAAAAATAGCAAAAATGCAACTTGCAAGGGGAAGGTTCCCACACTCCACGGGTAGATATAGAATCAGAGACCCTAGCTAAGGTATGAGTCACGTGATTCGTTGAACATTTAACATGACGAACTATAACGTTACCAAATGAAGCTACTAATGACTTACTATTGACTAATAACTAGACCGACATAAGATAAATTATTGAAACAACTGTTGAACTCCATACAGAAGTTGAAGTTATTAGTCTCTGTAATAAAATTCTTTTTATTCATTAGCTATTGAAAAATAACTTGGCCGATCTTATCTTGCATTAAAAGCAAAATTTACATATTAATCAAACACAAAAACAATCAATTACATATGTAAATATTATAATGTGAAATCATAATGGGAATGTAATATCACTCTAGACATTTTTTAGATTTTTTTTTCTTTCCAAAATGGTTTGGTAGTAGTTTGATTGCATGAGGAATTTAAGTACTCAAAAGGAATCTCTTACACTATCAATGAATCACATGTTATTACCACATTGATGTTAGAAGTCAAATAAAAGCATAATCAATTTGTGGCATATTTCTTTAATGATATAATTAGCATGATACATGTGTAATACATAGACTAAAGATTATAAGTATTGTTGTTATGTTATGATGGTAAGAACTACTAGGTAAAAAAGTGTTTTAGGTAAGACATATGTTGATTTTATATATAAGATTTGTAAAATTAATTATAATTGATCTATAAATGAATAGACAAATTATATTAAAAGAGTTCTACTACATTATTCCAAATCTTACTCCCTCAAATTTACTCCCTGATGTGGCGGACTCAGATAGGTTATTTTCTTCATGTGGCCCCTATTAAAGTGTCTACATCAATATTTGAAGTGTGAGAGAGTAAAAATTGAGAGTAGAGAATGGGAGTTCATGTAGTATTTTCCATATTAAATATACAACTTCATTAATGGGATGTTTGGTTCATGGAATAGGCCTGGAATTAGACCTGACAATTCGTGTATACGGGTCCGTT